GTGTGTGTGTGTGTGTGTGTATATATATGGTCAACGTGTTCGAATGGCAGCACGGTTCTTAAAAAATGACATTTTATTACGTTACAGGGTAAAAAGCTTCTGAGATTTTAATCATCGTTGTGTCTTTTGTAGGTACCTGCCCATGAAGGATATCATGTGTATGGAATGTTTATCTAGAAAGCTTCGAGAAGCAGTAACTCTGTACCTGCGAGTGGTCAAGGTGGTGGACCTGTGTGCTGGTCACTGGTGGGAGTATATGCCTTCAGGTACAGTACAACCAGTCTGCCTTTCACCAACATACAACAAAGAGCGTGCTATGGTACCGTTTTTTTGGCATTGACGTCCCGAATATGAATTCTGATGTTGTCAGTGTTAATAATGAATGTATGGAGCCTAAGCTCCAGGTCAGGCTGAGAGTTCAGTTGTGTTTTTACTGGCCTGCAAAAATATTTTATTTTTATATCTTAAAATTTTAAGAAATTTACTTAATAACAGTAACTCTATAAAATAATGGTCCTGAATGTTACAAACGGCCCATGTTTCCTTTTAGATTCACTCCTGTTTTGCTGTGTAACTTCTGGTGATGTTTCAGGTCATATTTATGTGTTTTTCACCTCCAAGTAAGTTGTAACACCAAAACACAAAGAGCTTTGTTTAGCAGGAGGTCCTGGACGTGTCTAAGTCATACACTGACAGTGTAATAACATGTGGAGACCCTTAAACACAGAACAGGATAGAGATGCATGTTCAAGCCTTTCAACTTTAAAACGAAAATGAGCAAAAATATCTTTGCTCATATTTGTAATACAGTTGAACCCCGACTTACGAAATTAATTTGTTCCCGAGGATCTTTCGTTAGTTTAAAATTTTTGTAAGTCGCTCCTTTGGAGTGAACGATAGGCTACAGGCTAACTGCTAACTGCAACAACAATACGTCGTTCAAGTGGAACAGCGACGCGCAAGTACGAAAGCCAAGAGGGCGGTCACATGATTCAGAAGGCATTGTGGGCATTCTGGGCTCAGCCAATCAGAGCCAGTGGATTTCGTAACACGAGCAGAAATATTGGCGTTCAGTGCCTTCATAACTTGAATTTTTCGTTAAATGGGGCATTTCAGGGTTCCACTGTACTTTTAACTACTTAGGTTTTTTCACCTTCTGTTTATATGTTTGTAAATGCGTCCATAGTAACCGGTTTATGCTGCAACCCCTGGGCTTTTGAAACGTTGAAAAAAAGGGATTTATTTATGTTTGTTGTGCTTTATCGTTTAGGCTTCACAGACAGCAGCTTTTTGCTCCTTCTGAAGAAGATGCCAGATCTGGAGCAGCTGTATGGTCTCCACCCACGATACCTGGAAAGGAGACGAATCCGTGGCTTTGAGGCGTTCAGTATTCCAGGAGTCCTGGAGGCTCTGCAAGCCTGCCCAAATCTGCTGGTCAGTAAACAGCATGTGACTGATCTGCTGTGTATTAAACAATTAACATGTGATTTATGGTCTTTATTTGTTGCTACATTCTCTGACCTGGTAGACTGATGAGATGTGTAAAGGCCCTTTGCTGTAGCTAGCGCACGCCGGGTCCCATTTGAAAGAGCCTTAAGGTGTAACCGTCAAGTTACGTTTGCAGTTACCTTCGCTGATGTCATTTCAGGGCGTTGAGACTTCCCACCTGGAGCTGGTGGAAGCCATTTGGAACTATATGCCCCAGGTTCACATTCTCGGAAAGTTCCGCAACCGTAACGGAGCTTTTCCCATTCCCGCTGAGAACAAACTCACCGTCCCCATAAACGCCAAGATCCAGACCCTCCATCTGGTGGGTGAGTACAACATGATGACAGAGACTCAGTCTAAATACATCAGCTACTATCCAAAAGTCTGGATGTAAGTCGGCGTCGTGTCTGCTGTTGTGTAGATTTGTGGTTGTTAAAAAGAACAGAAGGATAATCTTAAGGTCTGAAGTATCTCTGTCCTTTTATATTTACCAACCCAGGCGTGAATGTTCCCGAGATCCCCTGCGTGTCCATGCTACGGCACCTTTACCTGAAGTGGGTCCGCCTTACCAAACCACAGCCGTTTAAGGACTTTCTGTGTGTGAGCCTAAGGACCTTTGTTATGCGCAACTGTGCAGGGCCGACCAACTCTCTCAAATACGTTCCCCTGATCACCGGCTTGGCTTCAGCCCGGAACCTCGAGCAGCTGGAGCTGGTGCGAGTTCCCTTCTTGGGAGGGCTGATCCAGCACGTGGTGGAGGACAGCTGGAGATCAGGTGAGCAGCTGTTTGTAGACACTGCTGCACTTTCAGTGCGTCTTTAAATCACACTGTTGTTCAGTCGGACTGATTCATGCATGGCTTTGCTGTTGTTTTAATGTCTGTGTTTAAGAATTTAAATGTTCATGAGTGTCACATGGAAATGAATCAAATTACCTGGAAACAGTCGTTAACCCTTTAAAACCTGAACCATGAAATTACTTTTGATGGTTGAGTGTTTGTTGAGCCTTTAGACAAAATAAATATAGAAATATATCAAATTTTAATCTGCATATGAGTTTTGTATCACATTTGCTCCATAAACTATATTTTTGCAGTGGCGTCATTAAAAATGTTTTTTTGAGGGTAAAATAAAAAAGCTACACTGACGATGCAGAAGTCTCAAAAACACACGGATCACATACGACACGCTCGGCTTTAAAGGGTTAAACTCGCGGCCCACGTCACCGCTACTGTGGCGTGAAGAAATGTGACGCAGTTTGGACCCTGAGGTGACTTTTGTTGTTCTTTAAATGATTGAATATGATGACAGTATGAGCAGAGAGTCCCAACATGCTGAGGTTGTGTTCGCTCAGTGACAAACTAATGCGCACACTTACGTCTGCAGTTTAATTAAACACGCACACAGTGACAGAGGTGCTGCCTCGTGTCTGCACAGAGAGGACCAGTGTGTTCATTGGTAGTTCAATGAAAGGCTTCATTTTCAGAAATCTTTGTTTTCTTGTTTGTTTTTGTGCTGCTTGAACAGTAAAGTGACCGCAGCTTGTTTTCGTCTGTGTTTTATAGCAAAGAGTCTTTAAGGTATTTTGACTCGTTTATGTGCGAGCTGTTAAAGAGTCCGGTGTTGTGGATTTACATGACGTGTCCCTACTTTTGTCTTTAGCGCTTCAAATACGACTTCACGGCTGTACTGTAGTAATATTTTGTTGTTTGTTTTGATGTTTACGGCACATCCAGGAGGATTTCGGAACCTCCACACGATTGCGTTCGGAGCCTGTAAGAATGCCCTGGAGGTGGACTTGGGCTACCTCATCATAACTGCAGCTCGCAGGTACCTGCTTACGAACAGTGCTGTGTGAGAGGGATTACAGAGTCAGGACGTTCTGCTGCATATTTTCATAGCTTCAGTGTTCAGCTGTGGTTAAAACACAAACAGTAGCAATAAGAATAATATCAGCACCAGGGCAGTGAAACAGGTTTGTGACACGTTTGGATTATTTGATGTTTGCGTGCAGATGCAGCTGTTGCTGAAATTCTCACTTCTTTCTGTGTTTTTCATCAGGCTTCACGAGCTGCGTATCCAGCCCTCACTGACGAAAGATGGAGTCTTCTCAGCTCTCAAGATGGCTGAGCTGGAGTTTCCCCAGTTTGAGACTCTTCATCTGGGTTATGTGGATGAGTTTCTGCTGCAGTGTTAGTGCTTCCTCTCAAATATCTTTTGCTTTGATGAAAAGGCGATAAGCAGCTGACTTAAACCAAGAGGAGAATGAATAGTAACTCTGTAATAAAGCCCATGTTCGGTACACTGATGATGGAAACGAAGCTTTTTCCTGTTTTTATCTAAACTCAGGTAAAATGAGCCATTCGGAGCTGGTGAAATATGGGCTGGCGGATGTTATCGAGAACCCAGGAATCATCACTGATATTGGGATCAAGGTGGTGAATGAGGTGTTCACCAATATTAAATACCTGCTAATCTACAACTGTCCTCACCTCCACAACCCTCACCACTGGATCACTGGTACATGTTTGGTTTTGGTGAATAATAACAAAGCAGCAGAGACAAATACAGCCTTTATTACGCTGCAGTGTTTTTACGTCTCACATCACTGGATGTGTATAGTGTTGTCATGCTTTCTGTCTGCAGATCAGTCCAGATGGAGCCGTCTGGTTGATCTCACTCTGGTTCGCTGTCACGCCATCAAACTGGAGTCTTTTTCCCAGTTTGTAGAGCTGCTGCCCAGTCTGGAGTTTATCTGTCTGGACCAAATGTTTCGAGAACCACCCAAGGTACGTTTGTTATGGTCGCTTTCTCGAAACCAATCATCCCAGAGATGCGTCGTCTTCAAAGGGAGCAGATTTTAAACTGCATGGCGAGTGTGTCAGGCTCTTTAAAAGGATCCTGCACTGGTGCATTCGTGCAGAGCATCAGTGTGACTGCCATGCTCTACGTGTTAGTCCTGTGCACACAGTGATTTGTCGCCATCACCTCACAGCAACAGTTTGTAATCGTTTGTGTGTTTGTGTGTGTGCACCTGTGTGTTAGGGCTGTGCCAGGGTGGGTCTGAGTGCAGGAACTGGGATCGGTGTGTCCTCAGCACTGGTCAGCAACCAGAACTCGAACAACGACAATGAAGACCACCATCACCACAA